GCCCGCTGTGTGTGCTGCTGCCTATGGCTGTGCCGTCGTGCGTTGCCAGGTGGTGTGTTCATAACACCCAAGAGGCTTTCTAAGATTTTCCTAATTATTGTCTCTGCAAGATTCCTCACCCACTCCCCCCCCCCCTTGTAGACTCATTGTGGCTTTCAGACCAAGGGCTTCCGACTCTTGGTTGGGAAGAGAATCTGGTACAAGAGATACAGAGCGCTCATCAGTATCCAAAACTGAATTGACAGAGTTGRGGGAWTTAHCTRAGGTAGAGAAGTGAKGAGAGAGCAAAGGCGAAGGAGAGGTAGTCACTTTCTTTTTTGGGAAAACAGAGCACTCTGTCTCCCAAAGATGGGGGAGGGAAATCCCTGTCGCTGTATCAACACAAAGACCCCTTTCTGTATCCAAGTATGTACCTCTCTGTGAAGTACCCTTGTTCTTCTCTGAGAAAACCCGAGCAACCTCCTTTTCGACCTCTTGCAAAGCACTAGAACTGAGGGGGGGCTCAACCAGTAATGGATTAAATTCAAACACCCGCTCCTCCCCCTCCACCTTTCCTTCCCCCACCGAATCCCCTAAGAACAAACAGTCCAGGCTAAAAGAATCATTGTTCTGACCTTTAGATAGAGCTTCAACTGCCGCACTGCCTAAACTCCCACAGTCATCTGAACTATCAACATGATCAGAATCTGAACCGCAGCTCAACCAGCCTTGATCAGCCTCTTCTTTCTCTTCTGGTCTGCCTCTCGAATAGCGCGGGTTCGGGCGATCATAAAGGCTGAGATTTAGCTCGTCGCCGGCTGCCCGTCGGACCCAGCACAGAGGCCGGCGCTCTCCAGCCTTGTTCGCAGACTTCGCCCCTCCACAGTCGAGAGGGCGAGACTTAGACGATGATAGATGAAAGATGTCATCTATCACGTGGGCTTTTAAAACCGATAGGAAGTTCACCCACTGGCCCGACCGGCTCGACCATTCTTAGAGCCGGTTCGGAGAGAGACTTAGCGCGCGAACCGTTCTTTCCCAACTTAGCCACGTCAGCATAGGACGGGCCACCCTCTTTACACAACCCTTCTTCAAAAAAATTTGAAAAAGAAGCCAAAATAGGAAGGCTTCGAGACTTGGGAC